CAGGAATCCACAGAGTCAAAAAAACCCTGCTGTGGTCTTTGAGTTCCTTGCAGCAGAAAATTGCTGTATTACTTTTGCATAGTCAAAAGAAAACTAAAAGGTGGTTATATTCCAAGAGATGTTACAAGTCTAATGAGGTTGAGAACCACTGATCTAAACATATGTGGAAAGTCCAATAATATCAAACAATACATGGACTTTAAGAAGTTAATGACCACTTCATCATTTTAATTGCACTCTCATATTTAAGCTTACTACAAAAACTAAAGTTCTGATTTTACAAAATACTGCATTCAGGTGGCCCCTATCGAACTTTAAATAGTGCTCCATGCATGCACGCGTGTGCACGCACATACTGCTTTTAGGGAAAATGAATGAACCAAAGTGTTAACAGTATTAGCAAACTTCTCCAAAAAAAAAAAAAAAAATCAAGTACATACAAGTTGTCCGGCTCACAAGTATCAGATTATTTCCAATATTTCAATAGATCCCTGGCTAGTCACCAGTAAAACTGAATCAAAAGATCTGTGGTACTGGTTAGACATATTTTAAAATTATAAACATTATTCCATTAATCACACTGGAAAGTGATTAGGGAACGTGGCCATGGCTTTTGACCTCAAAGATCTGAATATATCATCATGCTGATACATACAATGGATTAACGTTCATCTAAAAGGGATAATAAACAAGCTTCTTCTTGAATGAAGTGGAATTGCTGTGGCCAGACCACAGTTTGGCATTTTGTTTTTTAAGAATTAATTTAGTATTTTGCCTATTGACAGACTGTTTTTTTTTATTGAAAACATTACAAGATATCGATCTAGCTGAAACACATTTAAAGTGAAATTTATGATGAGAAGATAATTTTACATATGTTTAGTTAATCCAATTTTCACATGCATGTTCCCTGAAAATAAGAAACTACAATTTAGAAGTATTAATTAATTTTAATTAGCATAACTTTATTACATTTAACAACACATTTCAGTGCTCTCCAAATTCCTCCTTGTATCCTATTCTTGTTCAGTCTTCTTCCTCAATCCTGTCCTTCTGCAATATCTAATCTTTCTGTAAGCAATACATTTAATAAATTCATCACTAACACAGCCATTTTGACTCTCAAAATACTGCATTTCAACATATACTTCTATTCTAATCTCTAAAAAAAAAAAGTGATTTGTTCAAATGCCCGTTTCAGCAGAGGCAACATCTAGAAGAGGCAAGAAACCTCAAACAGTTAAAGACTAAATTTGGCAATGGAGCTTTTGGGTGTAATTGTAACTGTATGAGGAGACAGTAACAATCCTAATAGCATTTTCCTTACATTAACACAATGCACAGAAATAAGTGTTGAATGTAATCTTCTAAAGTTAACAGTATTTCTGTAAAGCAGAACTAAAATTATATTTTCCAATTGTTTTTTCCTTCTAAACCCTGTTATAATAAACTTACTTGTAACTATCAAGTGAATTAAAAACGGGTGCTTTGTACATCTGAAATTTTTATTTTCTTTATACAGTCATTTGCAGATTTCTTTATTGATAATGCTTCCTCCATTTTTCCCTTTCCATACAACAAAAAATGGATAAAGAACTACTGTAGGACTACAGACAGTGACAGAGGACTCTTGGATATTAGTTATGTTGCCAATACTACTCTATTTCAAGTGTACCAAACAAGTTTATGTTGATAGTTCAGTGAAAGATTACATTTAAACCTTATGTTTCAGCAATCAAGGACACAACCTAGTTCTGGGATCCAACAGTGCAACAACCTTCCTCACATGTGCAGTCAGACTCCAGTATATTTCAGAAGAATGAAGAGAAACACTAACACAATTCAAGACAAGAGATCCAGCTGTCATTTGCACATCCCACTTAAAAACAAAAGATGACAGGAAAAAACATCATAAGTGGCAAAAGCCAAGAGAAAATGAAAAATGTAATTAAAAATCCCCTCTTAGAAAAAAAAAAAAAGTGCTTGACTTTACAAATATTGGCTGTTCAAAAAAATGAATGGAATTGATTAGTGTGCAAAAGGTTTTGTACAGTATCAAAAAAATCTACTGGGTTATCTTCTACAGGAGAAAGACCCTATTATTTTCCCCAAATCACTACTGCGAGTCACAGAACATTAGTTTTTGCCTTATAGAAGGCATCTAGAAACAAGTTAGCAACAAGTTAGAAGCAAGACTATCTCTTGGTAGCAAATTACAATTTTAAAGATTCCAAATTAACAGAATCAACTTCTACGGCCATGCAGTACCAGGATACTCTATTTTCTCCATTGACATTTTATAGGTCATTTGGACTTCACCCACAATTTCCATAAAAATTAAGGATTATACCCTAATAATTTCATAAAAATAAATGTTAACAGGGGCTATTAATTGGTAAAGAGCTAATGATACAGCCTCTCATCTGAATGCCATGCTTTTCATAAAAAACATTATTTAAGACGCCCTTAAAGAGATGCATTTGATACCTTCATTTACTATGTAGGGGGGGGAAAAAAAAAATCACAATTTGTGAACAAATGGAATTAAATTAGAAATTTGAGCCAAAAAAAAGGAACTCTAGCTGACTGAAACCCCACATCAACAAATTTCTATAAATTCTGGTTTCAACTCACAAAAATAGTAACTGGGAAGGCAGATCCTACACCAAAGTTGACAGATGTGTCTCAGTGACATTTGCTTGTGAGGCAGATTCAGTATGCACCATATGCACGGGGTCCAAGGCTGTCCAGCTTCTAAGCCCCTGAGGGCCACACGCCCCAGGGGCACCACATTGTGCAGGCTTCACCATGCGCGCTGTGTAAATGCTCCCTCCCACCCACCACTGAAACATACATCCGCATGGGCACCCCTCCTATTGCTGCGCTGTGTGGGTAGGTACATGAGCACAATTCTGCTCCAACACACACCTGTGTGGGCATCCCCCTTTACTGCTGTACTCTGCAGACATAACTCCTTCCCTCCCAGCCCACAACTCACCCTCAACTCCCTCTGTAGCCACACTGCCCCACTCCTTGGGGCACAGGCAAGAAGTCACAGCCAGGGGAGGAAGGGGGGGGGGGACACCCAGACTGGTCTGATGGGGAAAGCAGCAGCCGAGAGAGAACCCAGGAGCCAAACATTAATCCCTCACAAGCTGCATGCAGCCTATGGATCACCAGTTGGACAGCCCTGCTCTAAGACAAAAGTGGCCAAGTTGCAGCACTTGTGCTACAAGTAGCATGGGCAGGTTCCACATGAAACAAAGGGCAGGGAGCAGAAAACATATCAGGCAGGGAGCACAGGGTATGAAGCAGAAAACACAGACGAAGGGAAAAGGGATCAGTGCGGGAGATCCACTCATAAGACAGGTTCACTGTGCACCACAATTATCCTCTAGGGCCAGGGAGGGTGCAGGGGGAATTTGTGGCACACATGTCAAAATGGTTGGCCCCCACTGCTTTTGAGTTCAATCACAGGAAGGCAGTTTTAGCTTGTAAATGGAGCCAATTAGGAACAATACTGGTGGAGACTGCCCAGAAATATGCTGAACCAATGCATTACCCTGGAGACCTGGCTGCCTGCATCTTTCCAATGCTGGTAGTACTACCTATTTTTGGACTGAACTAGCCAGCTGTTACGTGGGCAGTGAGCCAAAGATCCCTGTCAGATTCCATACAGCTTACAACCCTAAAGTGAATCAGGCCACACACCCTAAATATGCAATTTTTACTTAGGACAGAAACCCCCACTGATTGAATAGATACTTAATATCAATTCCACAGTCAAAGAACATGCAATCATAACATAATGCTGAGAATGAATATTATTTTTAGAGCTATACAATTCTCCATCACTAATGACTACATCAATGAATGGAGCTTTCTAAACACCACTCTTGGATGTGTGTTGGGTCTTTGCTAACATAAGTTCTTCCACATGGAATGGCATTATAAACAGAAGTAAGACATATTGGTAGCTCAGAAAGTAAATAAACAGTGACTTGAGAATAACAAAAGTGTGCAAAATATCTTGCCATGACTTTGCTTTGCAAGATGTGTGAAGAAGGCTCTTTAAGCTTTTAGAAAGAAATGAGATGTTAGGAAATGAGGACCATTGCAAGCATGAAAACCTTAGTAGCATATTTAATTTAAACAGGAATTCCAGAAAGTTTAGACATTTAGGAAAAAGTAGAGAACTAATCACTCAAGATGACAATCACCAAATGAAAAATTAGTAGCAATCTCCACATCTCCTCCCATGCCAATCATTTTTGACTGTGCTTTCTTCCCCAAATAAAAAAAAAACAAAAAACCCAAATCTCTCAAAGTAACCTGCAATGTTTAATTCATGTGTCATGGACAACGATAAGAACAAAACCTTTCCTAGAGACAAGCAAGAGATACTGAAGATGTATTTGCAGGTTATGGAAGTACTGCTTTCGCTTAATACAGTAAAAAATGTGAATCAATGCAATGAGAGGTTGTGAGCTCCGCGCAGCTTCACCACCGCAAACCCAAACCAGCCTAGCACCAAGGTGGGAGGCTTAGAAAGAAACTGAAATGGCAACTCTCATGCAACTCGTACAGCAAGATCACCTGCCTCAACACTGCCCATTTTTTAAACACCTGATGTCCTCGCTCTTGTCAAGAGCCAAGGCAGACTCCTGTTCCCCAACTGCACTCCCAAGAGGGGCCTATCCTCTACGACCTGCGGCTTGCAAAGGAGAAAGCAGCAAATCCTCCATTGCCACAAGGCGACTCCCAGCTGTGCTTGCAGATGGAGCCTCTCCCGAGGACGCATCAGAGCGGAGCCTGGCAGAGGTGGCAGCCTCCATGCGTGCCCCCGCCCCGGTCAGCCCCGCTCTCCCGGGCGATCCCGGAGGCAGCGGAGGAGGAAGCCGCCTCCGGCCCCCGGCGCCAGCCCGCCAGGAGCGCGGCTCCGCACGGCGCAGGCACGAGCTTAGTCATTGCTCCGCCAGGAGCGGGCGCCCGGCTCTTACCTTCCGCCACGTCTTCGTCGATGGCCCCCTTCACCTGGGAGAAGCACCACTGGAAGTCGTTGCCGCCGCCGGCGCCTCCTGCCACCCCTGCGGGGAGAGGAGAGGAGAGGAGGGCGCTGAGGGGGGAGTGCCCGGCCCGGCCTGGCCCCGCCACCCCCGGCCCCTGCCCTAGGCCCGGGCCCCGGAGGCCGCGGCGTGCGCGCCCCTCACCT